TATTTGGATCATGCATGACTTCACTGAGCTGATTTTAACACTTGATGGAGCGTAATAGATAGGTATTCATGCTGGGATCCGTTCTGCGGAGTTGCTCCCCCTCAGCTCAGCAATTCGCATCATGGGTTTGCAGGATCCTGTTCATCAGAAGCCAAGTGGGTCTCTGGTGGCAGCTTTTCTGGTTCTGACCATGGCTGTCAAATGAGGACGTTCAATGGGTGCACTTGCAGAGCTGTGAACTAAGCTGAGGCAGAGCCCAGGCACTACTGCTCGCTACACCCTAATGGTTCTCACTTGCATTACAACGCACTGTCAGCAAATGCCCGGGAAGGAGGAAGCCAGTTTCTCCCCACACCCAGCAATAGCAGTCACTGCCACGTACCCCAGACGCGTCACTTGGTACAGGCTGGCCGGGCGCCTGCCAGGTGACGCATTGCGCTTCACCTTTCTGGTAACCTCACTTCCTGTTTTGTTCCTGCATGGACAATTTTCTCCCTCTTTTAACAAAATAGCATGATTTGTCTTTCTAACATAGGGAGATAAAAAGAAGACTGACTGCTCAATGAAAAGAAATCAGGGGAGATAGGTGAAGGAGAAAGGGCCAGGCAGACAAAAGTAGGCCTGGGATTTAAAGTTAGTGAAAGACAAGCTATATGCTTACCTTTTGGCTCTACTGAAGTTGCAATGAAAAAAAGCAAGGGCAGCATTCTCTCAGACTCACCAGCAGCTGCTAATCAACTGCACAACCTCTGGCAAGCAGATTCATTGCTTTTGGCTTTTTCCTTTCCCATCTTTCAGCTGCATGTTAGTTCAGATTAAAAGCCTGGGGAGAAGAGGGATTTCCTTGCTTTTGGATTTACAGAGCACCTAATAAATGGAACTATAAAATTTCTTGAATGCACACAATACTGCAATTGAAATAACATTTCACAGTGATCATTAACCACTGGTATGCTCCTTGCTCTCTTACTCTGAGAGAGATGCGAGGGGCAGGAACCAGAGCTATGGTACCACATCTAAAAATGCGTGCTGATATTTCTAGACATCTGCTTTCAGCACAACTTTATCAAGAGAGACTACCAGGTTGCACTGAGAAGTAGCTTTGGGGTCTCCTGGAGAATTTGAGAACCACAGATTAATAAACAAAACAACAGCATTTTAAAAATAAGCCAGTTTTTTTATATATATATAAATGCCTGTCTTCTTGTTTGCTTTTGGCCCTTGACTCACTAAAATTGGTAGCAACTCTTCAACAGATGTGTAATGTAAATAAGTAGAACTGCAGAAATAAATTTTCAAGACAATTGGAAATTGGAAAATGCATATTTATGCAAATTAGTGTGATGAGAAAAGAAATGAAGCACAGTCAAGTTCCCTGTAAACACAACTGAAGATTCATCCTCTGGGGCCCCTAAAATAAGAAAATTAACCCATCCATGGATCTTTAGCAAATAGACAACCCTCACCCTCCTCGAAACTCACAGTCTATATGCAGAGAAACCTTTCAAAATGTCATCAAGGTTCGCTTTTGTGAATGGGATTTTTCTGGAGGGAATTTTGTGTCTGGTTGTATCCTTTTATCCATGTGCTCTAGGTGTCCCTGCACTTACCTGAAATGTCAGTAATGATTTCAAGCTTCGACAGAGTGGAATGAAAATTATTTTGTCATGGTTGTTCTTAAAAATACTTTGAAATTTTCTTTCCTGCATAGATTTGTTAGGGGCATAGTAGGCTTACTTAATACCACTGTAAATTTTCAGAAATAGATTAAACATCAGCAGTTAAAGTGGAATGAAGTTCAATTTTGCTTAACGTTTACTGATAGAATGAGGAAATAACTGCTGTTTAAGAGAAAAGGAATACATTTTTACATGATGGTTAAATCAATTTCTCATTGAAATTAAAAGAATGACTGCTTCATGTGCAAGAGGAATAATTTCTTTTCCTGGCTTTCCTTGCCTTACAAATACTTCTGTTTAGAATCTTACAACCATCCACAAAGACATACAGTCATTCACCAGACAAACTGGAGAAATTGTTATTCTTTTGAGACCTCTAGGACAAACCTGATCGAAGAAGCACCAACACGCAGAAACCCAAGTGCAAAATTCCTTTTCTTCCCAAATATAATTAGAACAGTTCATTTTCACAATTAAGATGAAGGCAAGCAACGATGGCAGTTTAATCATTGTACAGAACTGTCATCTACCAAGCATGTAGCATAGTACTCAAATCATGTATTTACATATGCATGATGTAAGACTACATTAACAGCATCAGTAGCTCCAGTGCAGACAGGACCTAAACAGGACGGTCTAGTCAGGACAATGGCAAGAAGTGCACTAGGATCTTTTAAAGTAATACACCTTGTGGAAAAATGCAACTCTTGTTATCAACAGAAATGTTATTAAAAAAAAAAGTCTTCAAAAATTTTGGGAACCAACTTGTAGGAACATAGATATCAAGAGCTTTAATAGCCCATAGCTTTTCTGGAGACAACTCAGGAGCTTTATTTGTGCATATATAACGTTTGCTTTGTCTTAGGAATGCAGAAACACTATGGGGATACACCACTTTCCCCCACAGGACATATGCTCACTAGCTGCTTCATAATAGTACTTCTACAGTAAACAATACAATTCGTCAGAAATAAGGCGAATACAATGGAATAGGAAAAACAGATTTAAAACAATTCTTGAAGTGCAACAGGTTTAAATTTCTACCACTGGGCTTACATGCAGCGGACACAAATTTTATTGCTTACAGTATCACGTAAGGAAACTTAGGCTGAAGCTTTTACTTAAGATGTCTGTGTAAATATCCAGTAATCTGCATGACCCATTTTACCCTGTCAGCTTCTCGATAATTCCATTCAGAAGGGAGGATGTTCAGCCAGAATAGTCAGCAAGTTTTAGTGTATTCAAATAGCTTTTTTATTATGTTGGCTTTAAGTCATAGGCTGGTGCCTCTTTTGTGAGCTACATTCCCATTTACATGCATATGGCTTCAGGAAGTTATTTCCTCTTCTTTTCCTTTGTGTTCATAAACAATATCTTGATTTCCCGGCAGATTTAGTAACCTTGGCTTTTATAACCAAGTACCTTTCATCTACTGCTTTTTTTTTTTTCTTTTGCAGCTCAAGGACTAGCAGGATTTGAGTTGAGCTCACACTGCACTTGGTATTTTATATTACCTGAAGAAAGGTAGAAAATTAGTAATACTTTATGTCCAGCAATGAAGTGTTGAGAGAGACAGTTTTCTGTCCACTCCCAGTGCTAGGGATGAAAGAATGAAAATCAGCTAAGGCATATGGAGCTTATGCAGCCAGTTTCCTGGCATCTTGAATGTAAACTACTAACATTTTCTTCCAAGCACAATCCTTATGGGTACGACCAAGTTGCTTTCCTTCCCTTTTGTTTCCTACATACTTCCACCAAGCAGTGTGGATGCTCTCCATAACAGGTTTAACAAGTCAGCATAATAGCTCAATTCTAACCAGCACTTCTGGCTGGCGCTTATTAAGTAGCCACTGAAGGAGGCTCTTCCTTTAGAAAAAAATGTATGCAAGGAGATTCAAGTTGAAAGAATTCATCTGTAATCAGCACATGGACACACAGTTGATTAAGTTTAATTAATGAATTAATTTAACTTAAAACTTAAGCAGTTAAGTTTTAGCCATTCTATATTTCTGAATTCAGCTTTCCCCTCCCCTCCCCCCCCCCTCCAAGAAGGAGAAACTGCTACCTTAAAACTTACTTCATCCACAATAGGGAAATTCTGCTTCCATAACTTCAGGTGTTCCCTTGAGTATATGACTGGCAGACTCAGAAAAGATAATTGTACATAAAAACTTTTGGCTTTATCGAACCTGAACCTACATTAGCTCCTTTCCACTTTAGCCAAAGTACAAAAATGTGAGTCAACACGTTAAATACAAGGTAAGCCTTCCCCCAGTAGGTGTTTATGTCAGTTCCACTGAGTACAGGAACTATAGGTACCCCAAAGACATCTAATCAGCAGTATAGAACAGCTAGTAGCAATGTTTCAGTATCAGAGATCTACATAGGACAGTTCTCTCAGGTTATAGTACAAGTAACTGCAGTGCAGTCAGGAATCAAGAACATCTAGGGAGTAAGCAGGAGAAGCTAACTAGGGCATAACTAGTTTCTACAGGAAGAATCCTTCCCCCCACCCCTTCTTTCCCTAACTAGAGCTGGGGCAGAAGGGGAAATAGTAAACTTGCCACAACCTATCATCAAGCTTTCTCACTGAATTCTTGCTTTGGATCTTCTTGGTTTGCCCTATCATGATCACAAGGAGACCAAGCTGTAATAAGCTCATATGAGGTAGGATGAGGAAAGTCTGGGGTCAGAAATATGGTATTCTGGATAAGAAATAATCAAAGGCGGAACATAGGGCATAAAAATACTTTGTTATAAAAGATAGAGCCGTAATATTGCCTCTGGGTCAATGGGACAGAGCCAACATTCTCTTATAACAATATTCCAGATTAACAAGAAGTTTCAAAGAATGAGCATCCAATTTCAGTCATCTCTGCTTTTTCCAGTGAAGACATTTTTCTTCTTTTCCTTAAAGCTGTATCAAATACTACACTCCAGTTTATAAAAGCTGTTCATCATTCTCAAGCTGCATTTATGTAATTGATACAACAGACTTTCATTAGCAGTCCTGTGCAGGATACCTAAATGGTGAGCTCCATGTAGAAAGAAAGACCAAAAGCCAGTCATCTGTACACACTAAATTAAGTGTTTATTTAAAAAGTAAACCTTCGGGCCTATTTCTAATTAAAAAAGGAAAAAATACATAGAAGAATCTATTAGATTAAGCAGTTAAAAGCCAGCAATATTACAAGCTGTTTACATACCAACATTTACATTAATTTAAAATAAGTGGCATGTCACCAACATGTAAAACAGACTTCAAGAGTCTTAAAAAAAAAATCAAGTTGACTTTTGAAGAATACAAGTCTACCACCTGTGTGACTGTTTGGTCATTCAGTTTATTATCCCCTTTTGCACTGAAATGTCCAGTCTTCAAATTATACAAGTGGATAACTAGCAGCTGTTGCAATTCCACAGTGGTTCTTCCTGTCTTTGGCCATGTAGATATATCCTTTGTCACCCCACTTCTCACCCCAGCTGTAATCAGAAATAAAAGGTTTATTTTCATACTCCAAAAGACTTCCTTACTATTCTTTCATGAAGTGTTTGAACTGAGAACTGCCTTTCATATTCACAGGAAATTTTAAACAGATGTACATAGCAGAAGGACAAAAAAAAAAAAAAAAAAAAAAAACAACAGAAAAGGTAGTGCAGCTGTACATGGAGGTCCATGCCTCACACGAGAACAATTTTGGACTACTGGAGCTCAGGCAATGCTCCCAGCCAATTTTAACAGAGGACACAAGACTGCAGGCAGCATGAGGGTGGTGTCCCAATAGTGCTGATAGCATGAGACTAACTCATGTGATATGCCCTTTGGCATTCTTTTTTTTCCTCCCAGCCCAGCAGGGTAACTACATTCTGAAAATTCAAATGTTATTTCATACAGTGAATAGCCCCACTGCTTCTGAAAATTCATGGCCCCCATTGCCACAACCTGTTTTTCCTTCTGCTCTCCTATGCACTATCACTTCAGTGCATCTACTCTTCTCATGGGCTAATCTTCCACCAAGCTTCCTTGATCCCTCAAATCAGCTGAAAAACGCAGAGGAATGCAATTGCTGCTCAAAGCCTACCTTACTAGCAGGTCAGCATCCTAAGCTGACTTTTAACTTCTACCCAATATCCCACGAACAGTCTCCACATTTTCCGTATGTAGATTTTAATTTCTGTTGCCTCTTCATACCTCCCTATGCCAAAAGACAAACTACCCTCCCTCCTCCCACAAAGAGTATGACACATAGAAAAGTTTTACCTGTTCTTAACAATCCAGTATTTCTTTCCATCTACATCTTCACCTTCAAAACCATAACCTACAACCAGAACACCATGGTCCAAGTCTTCACTGCTACAGTCTGGTTCATAGTAGATACCTGAGGAAGCATAAAATTGCACATGAACAAACTGATCTACTAGAATACTTGTGTTCAAAATTGTGTTGATTAGCTAGAGAAGCTGTGCAGTGAGGGAAGCGAAATGCATCTATGGGAGAAAGTAAGCAGCAAGCATAAGCATATACAGAATGTGGGAATCTGGACTAGAATTAAGAGGACTTATATGTCCTACTTCACAAACTCAGACTTTTTTGCTCTTAAACTGGAGAGTGAGTGATTACTGAGTATCCAAGAAGTTCCTCAGGCAAGTTACTAACAAATCCCCACCTGATTGATAAAACTGGAATGAAGAGTGTCCAGCATCAATAGCAACAGATACTGGACCCACAGCTGCTACTGCTTTCATGAGAGCTCTTTCATGTCCTTGAGGGACGTCAACAAAGCCAGTATCATTAGCAGCATTGTACTCTGCCTTGTAGCGACAGTCTTCATCATCCTGAATTAAGAGAAATAAGAAAACCACTAGTTACTACATAGTTCTCTACTTTACACACGAGTGAGCATAAGAACTACCAGACATACTACAAGTTCACTGCATTGAAAGCAAGACACTGAGAAGGACCCAGTTGTGTCTGGTCTTCTTTCAAAGCATTCCCAAAACTAAAGAAACTGCTTTTGAGTTATTTAGAGACGCAGAAAAAGGAAAAAAAAAAAAAAAAAAACAGGGTTGAGAAGCCCATAGTGAAAAGTTTACTGGGATGCAGAAGACCTTCACATCTAGGAACACTGCAGTCTCTAGTAGGGAAGACGAATTTCATTTCTGAGAAAACAATGTCCAGAATGCATTAATAGGCAAAGAAAGAGAGCCAAGTATTAATTAATTACAAAGCAGTCCAGGAACTGCTAATTGAGCAAGCACTTAAATCCACAGTCTGTCAGTCTGGAAAAACATGAAGAATGACTTAGAAATGACTCATTTTTAATGTATGAGTTTACAGTATTCCTGTATTTTGGGCTTTTTTTTTTTTCTTCACACAGTGAAATCTGAACTGCCTGTGTCACAGGCATTTGTTTCAGGAAAGGGGTCAAGTTTGGACATCTAGCAATTTGATATAAAAAAGTACGCATGTCCCTGCTTCATCTGTGTGATGAAACTAGAACTTCAGTTGCCTTTCCAACTAAAAGAACATGGGCCACATGCCTCAGTTGTTTACTTCTCATAATCAGCAAGTTTGTACTTCCTATAAACAACCAGAATTGCTGGAAGAGCCAAGTTTAAAAAAAAATTATAGGATACAGGCAGATAGAAACCCAAATCCTTCAAAGTTATTCACAGTGAATGTCACTGCTACTGCACATTCAGTCAACAGAAGACAAACTGCAAGGAAATTTTCTAGAGAGCAGCAGCACTGAAAGTAGAAAAAGCCCAAACATTAAGACTAATGCAACACCACACCATTTATTACCGCCCTTTTGTCCTCTCATGCCTGTTTAACTTTTGATAGATTTTTAGAGGTATTTTAGAAATCTGCTCATTACCTGCATTTATGCAGATTCAGCCCAAAAGCAGAATAAGACATAGTCAGATCTAAGAAAATCCACATTTGCTGCAAGAGTTATTTGGTCTGTGGGAAACAACCTATAATAGTTTAGTTATGAAAAGCACAATTGAAACCTTAGGACTAAGCAGCAGTTTGACAAGAACCAAGTCTTGGTTTGGTGTGTCATCAAAGACATCTGGCATCTGATAGGGGGAAGCAATAACAAGATTTGCTCTAGTTTTTCCAGATGGTCTGGAAAGATTTGATGATCTTTAAGGTCTTTTCCTACCTGAGCAATTCTATGATTCTATGATTTTGATCCCCTAAGATCAGTGCAGTATGCGACTGCTACAGAACCTGGGGCAAGCAGCCATTCTAGATTTCTTTAGAAGAATACAAGAGGAAAAGCAGATGTACTGATGGCTACTTAGCCTTCATCCTCTCCAGGTATTTGTTTATACAAAGTTTATTACACTTACAGTTTATACAAAAGATGCTGTATCTGCAGCATGTTCAGCTATGACATTTACCTTTGCAGTGTATGGGTAGGATTCCTCTGAATCGATTCCCCCATTATCTTGTACGTACTGGAAAGCCTGGTCCATGAGACCACCATTGCAGCCTTGATTTCCTTCTGGGCGGGAGCAGTCCACAAGATTCTGTTCACTGAGTGAAACAAGTTTTCCAGTTTTTCTGAAGTGCTGGCCTTCAAGAGCTCCTGTTGTGCTGAAAGCCCAGCAAGAGCCACACTGACCCTGAAAGTAAGAAGCAAAATCACAAATGGCTACGTTGGACATATTAAGCAATTACAGTTCCCATGCCATTGATCTAAGCATTAGAAAAGCAAAAGCTTCAAGACCAACTTCATTATCATGATTCTACTATGCTCAAGTAGAGACACTATTTTAGTTTTATGACATTTAGCACAGAAGGACTCCTTGATAATTCTACTGAGGTACAGAATTTTACTAAAATGGAACTTAATTCAGCATGCTTGCACTAGGGTTCATCAAACAACTCAACAGCATCTCTCCTCTGTGAACATGGAGGCAGCATTCAGGAAACTAGTTAAAAATCCAACAACACAGAATACCTGATCTTTAACTGGAGTTACATATCCCTTCTCTCTCCAGTCTACAGATCGTGGTGCTTCAAGGAAACTGGGCTCAAGAAACTGGGATCCTCTGTACTTCCTTTCTGACTTCTTGTGTATATAGCCATTCATCAGCTGTCTGAACTCCTCCGTCGTCTAAAGAAAATTGAAGACATAAAGTCACCATCTACTATACTACACACTGCTGTTTAGAAACAAATGTTTTATGCTTATGTACATACCATGTCACCAAACTGATTCATCCCCAACTTATAACTGTGTTTTCCCAATGAGTGATCCAGGTTATGCAGTTCAATCATTTTCAGATTCTTCTCCCATACCACTCTCCTCCAGCTTTCCTCTCTCTGAGAAGCCAGAAAAGCAACACTTCAGTGAGAAAGTTCAAAATCTCACTCAAGTGATAGCATGCTTCGTTATAATTTGTATACACAGGCAAATATGAACGCCTCTAAAAAAAAAAAGCTTCCATAAATGGTTATTTTGCCACTGTTATATGAAAAGCATAACTGAGCAGTTACATGAACAAAGCAAAAGGATTCAGGAAAAGAGAGGTTTAATTCAACAAATACATATCACGGGCAGCTTTAAAACAAAGCAATCATGACTCAGCTAATGGGGCCCAGCCGAGCACGGTTTGCATTTGCTGAGCTGAACACACATCCCAGGGGCCACCCAACAGGCACTCACCTCATGATAATCTTTACTGTGCCAGGACTTCCACAGCTGCCAGTGGCTGTCCAAATCGGGATCTAGTCTCGGTGCAGCAAAGGCCAGCCCCAAGCACAGGGACAGGATGGTCAGACACACGTTCATGTTGACGAATCTGCCGGAAATTGAGCAACGCCCATCGGGCAAAACAATACGCACACAAGCCCTGTTTGCCTCACAGCCACGTTGAAATACCCGGCTTGAAACAAATCCGTTCACAGCAGAAGACTCGGTTCCCCTCTTCCTTTACAAGAGCAAACAAACAAGATGGGCACAGATCCCGAAGAGAGCTCTCGGACCGGAGAAGAAAGCACTCCGCTCCTCCCCCAACCCCCTACTCGAGCTTCGAATCCCAACCCTCACCACCCCGGCCCCCCCGGGCCGAGCGGACTGCCAGGCTGCAGTCACCCTCCTCGCGGCCATGGTCGGCTCTCGAGGCCATCTTGTCCCTCCGCCCCACCACGCCAGGCCTCGGAGCCCTCGGCTGCGGCCGTAAACAAGGGCGGGCGGAGCGGCCCAAAACCGGGGCCGGCGGCAGGGCGGCTTAGCAGGAGCCTCGCCAGGAACGGCGGCCCCATTCCTACGTGCCGGCAGCGCCTGCAGCGGCGGGGGCCCGCGGAACCCCGGTAGCGCCTGCAACGTCTTCACGTAGCTCACCTCGATCGACACCAGAGTAACAAACAAAAACCACGGCACGGCTCAGCCGGCGGCGGCACCGCTGCCCCTTCTTTTATAGCCACCACGGCCGAGCCCGCCCCACCGCGCCGATTGGCGGCAGCGCCAGGACTCGCCCCGCCCGTCCCACTCGGGACGGGGCCGCGGCTGAGGTAGAGGTTTGCGCTCTGGCTCTCCGAGTGCCGCCGTCGGCTGCGGTCAGGCGGGGGTTGGGCCTCGGCGGTGCGTGAGGAGCTCGCCGAAGCGGTCTGTCGGCCGCCCGGGCACCGAAGGGTGGCTGCCCGTCTCGGTGGCAATTGCTCGCCCTGGGGGTCCCGCAGTGCCCCGGCTGTTATTTTAGGCGGTGTTTGTGTTGCGATGCGGAGGGGCTGGCAAGCGAGAGGGGTGGAGTATTTAAGCTGTTGGGAGTTCAGTATAAAACTCATAACTGACAGAGCGTAAGGCAACAAATCTGGAAGGAAAGGAAGAAAGGCCTGTTGTTTGAAACCGCAGAAACACAAGTGCGGCCCCACTGATGGCTTTCGATCAGATCGAGCCGATGGGCAGCCTGGGAGCCTTGCGTGTTGTCCCTTTGAAACTCAGAGGCCTGCTGGGGCACAAACCAGGGCGTGTGACTTCACTGGTTCTTTCCTTCTGCTTTGTTTCTTTCCAGACAGGTGCCGGCCTTGCTGCAGCCAGTTCCAGCCTGGGAGCACTGCTGCTGCTTGCTGGAAGCTTCTGTACATTTGCTGCAGAGCACAGTTTTGTTCCTGATCTGATGCCAGGCACATGTGAGGGGCATCTCGCTCATGTCCAGGTGTGCTGCAGCACTTGCAGTTACACTAGTATGAGAAGCACTTCAAAGAAAGTTTCCCCCCTCCCCCCCAATTTGTTTTTTTCAATATGTGAAAACTGTTTTTTTCTTGCCTCTGGACCTGATATAGTAAGAATCAGGTGTTTCACCACGTTATGGCTAGTGATCATAGAGATATCACCTAGTAGTGTCTCCTGAAAAGCAGAGAAAAACACCGAGAGTTGGAGCACAAGTGAGATATTAAACCATTTGTGTGTGGACTTAGTGTGGGAGCAGACAGTTTTTTAACAGGGTGTTTGACTGTAGAAGTAAAATAACTGTAGGAGCTATATGAGGCTCCTCTGTAAATTATTGTAAAGACAGCATTTCCCTTGTAAAGATTGCTTTCCGTTACAAACATGGAGTAAAATGCAGAGCTTGTGAACTGTTGCACAACAGAGAAAAGGCAGAAATCACATGATAGGTGTTTCTCCCTTTTTTGATGTCTTAAGACACAAAATGTGTCACAACACACAAGGACAAACAAAATGTGTTTCCTTAACCAGATTTTCATGGGAACAGCTTTTGGCCTGAGGAAGGCCCGCAGAGCCAACACACAATGAGACACTGAAGAGGTTGTCTTGTCTTTTCAAAGTTCTCATTGCACACACACACGCACAGAGAGAGAGAGAGAGAGAGAGAGAGAGAGAGAGAGGGAGTCCTGAAGTGTAAATACACCAACAATAATAAACTTGCCTTGCAAAACCTGTGAGAAAACAAGACATTTTAAAGCTGAGCTGCTTACTTAAGTCAAAGGCTGTATACAAACGCTCAGGGCTGTCAGGATGGTTTTATGCAGGCAGGCATGCCGCTTTGAGCAGGAAAACATGAGGTCTTTGTGAAAGAAACATTGAACGAATTTCCTCAGAGTTGGAATGCAGCAAATACATACTGGAGGCATCATGATTTTTAGTAATTACTTGCTCATCATTTCTAATAGTTGCTTTGCAAGGATGTGTTATCAAATTTCAAAAGATGTCTATGACGGTTCTGAAAGTTTATGTTTTGCCCAAAATTTCTGTGGTTTGTTACAGCTAGTAGCAAGCTGACCATATATCCACCATAGAAGCAATTTTTTTTTGAAAGAAGAAAAAAGCATGGCATAAACTGCATCAGTGTGCATTTGCACAGCATCTATTAAGTGTATAAACATACAAAAACCTCACTAGCCTTGTGCTTTCTGTTCAACTAAACATTTACCACTTGTATTTTTAATTGCCAAACAGCAGTTATTATTGTTATCAAAGGCTTGCCTTTCCTAAGGAAAATGTTCTATTTCCTTATTTGTAAGGAGAATTTAAAATACATACACTGCATAAAAACGTACATTTGTATTTTTCCAACTTGAAACTTTGCTACATGGCTAATTTATGTGCAAATGATTCATGAAAATGATCTCATTTCATAATTTGTGTAACTTATGGGGTCTTGTGGGGTTTTGGGGATGGGAGGATGATAGTGAGTTGTGCTATTTGAAAAGTTTTTACTTCACAGCTCTTTGCTGGTGTGCTGTGCAGTGAGACTTTTTCAGTCCTGTGTTTTTGTTTCTGCAACTGTATCTGATACCAACTGAAAATTGATAGGCTACGTTTAAGGTTCCAATGAACTGTGGAGAAAGACTGCTTTTTGAGACGGGCAAGATGTTTAGCTGGAATTACAGGAGATAAGTCAGAATTACAGTCTTGCACCATGAATCCCATGTGTGTATCTACTGTGCTGCCTCTTTCTGTGAGTACTCATAGTGCATGTTCACAACACGCAAAAATGTCAGATGCCATTCTCACTGTGAAGCTAAGCTCACATTACAGATTTCTTTAACTACCTTATAGAGCAAATAACATCAGAGAATTTTCTGGAAATACTTGAAGGTAACAGATGTGCTTTCACCTTCAGCACATTAAATTTCAGTTTGCTCTGAATCATTACTACTATGTGGATATATCAATTTCCCAGGTATTTTTGGAGGTTGTTCAGCTATTTTCTCCACTTTTTTTTTTTTTTTTTTTTCAAAAGCTAGATTCCATTCTGCTCCTCCCAACTCTGCCCTTAATTTCATCACTGTACATTGGTGAAAATTCTCTCTGCCTTCAGTACTCACCTAGTCATCCTGCCTAAAACATTTATTCATCCCAGCCGCACTGTGGCTTCTGACTAGATGAATGGCAATGATCACAACTTGGCCATCACAAGAGTGCCACTTAAAAACCTGTGATGGGAAGCTGGCGTAGGACTCCTGTTTTCAGGCTCCTGTGCAAACAACTCCTGTTTGAGAGTTGTCTTCAGTGTGAAGACCACCAACCACACTGCAGAGGCTGTTGACAGCTAAATATGCCTTATTATATAGCTAATATAGTTTTATAGTATAGTTTTATTTCCAGTGCTGCTTTTAGGCCATAGATGGTGCTGTCACAGCACTGTTTCTGTTGCTCCTTTCTTACAACAAAATGTGTTCACACACCAAATTGCAGTGTGAAGGTGTTCTGGTCAAGTGAATGATGGGCCAGTAGAAGTGCTTAGAGATAATGAATGGGCAGATATAGCTAGAAATCTTTTTTCATCAAATGCTTCTACCTTTTTGATGTCTACTGCAGTCACACCAGCCACAGCAGTCTTTGTCCTTTTGAAAACACCCCTGCGGGGACTAGTATCTTCTGCACAAAGCATTCCTTTGAAGAGTGAAAGCCAGAGAACCTCCTTCAGCCTCAGACAAAGCCAAGCAATGTCAGTCTATAGATAGCTGTGTTATTCACAGTAGTCACAGCACTTTCTTCAATAACATAGAAATCAAAACTCTGAAAGATGACAACCTCTGTTGCCTATTAATTCATCTCTCTCTTTTCTGGAAGGAAACTTCCCAAATTATTTCAAGAATAACAGCATTTGAGGAACTCCTTTTGTGCAAAATTCTAGCTATTTTGGCAAAGACCTTCCATTCTTCTCAGAGGCAAGAACAACCCCTTAACTGGTCATGTTCCCATTGCAACAGCTCCAATACTGTTCTCAGCTTCCACAAGTCACCACATGACAGGAGCTGTGTATTTCTCAATAGGCACAAGAACTTGTATAATGGTGTGCTGCCTTTATAGTTGGAGGTTTAAACTCAGCACTAATCTCCAGGGAAACTTCAACATGAAATTCAGCTGCCACTGCACATCCCAATAACGATGCACACCATCTCACCACAGCTACTTTCATTATTTGAAGTCAGAATTTCTGAAATTTGTTTTCTTCTTCAATGCCCATTTTTGTCTTCATTATCCTGGTGCAAATGCAAAGAGGAATGTGCTTACCTGGAAAAAGACCCAGAAATCCAAAAAAGCAAAGCTCTTCTGCAAAGTTAGCTGACTTGCAAAGCTGCAGCAGGTTGACAATATATCAGAAACATCTGTTCAATGTGAATAAAATAAGCTATGTCCTACTTCTCGGTGACAATGGTGGGCACTAAAGAAGATCCATGGGCCAGCTATCTCAAGGTAAATTATGTGCCATGCTCTTTACTGAAGTGAAGATGAGTGGTTTGTTCAGATACCGTTTCTTATAACAGGAAAGAAAAGGCACTACATTTAGTCAAACATAGGGGTTTTTTTTTGTTGTTGATTGTTTTTGTGTGTGTGTGTGTTAATCTGTAGACCAAATCTCAAGAGCTTTACTCCTCAATTACACAAATCTGAATTAGTTTAATTAAAAACTATGGTTGTGGATGTGTTTATTTAAACCTGGAGAAATCCCTCTGTCTTAAATTTGATTATCTACTCTCAAATGCAAACTATGACATTTCACTGCAAGCTTTTGCTGTTTAATGTTGATTCAGTTTTTAAAAAAGCACACAAACATTTCAGAGAGCGCTGTACTAATTTTAGATACCAGTGCCTGGCTTATGTGTAAAATATGCCAGAGACACATTTGTCTGTAGGAAAACAGAACACTAAAAATATATGTCAAATTTCTTTTCAGCAAAATAATCAAGCTGTACTTGTATTTTACAGTAAAGGTTCTTACAGAAAACAAGTGTAGTAAGTTTTCGAAGTGATTGTTTCAGACAGTTAGAAGGATGTGAAAAAACTGTTGTGGAACAGATGTATCTGTGTTACTTTAAGAAACACTGCTTACTTTAATACGTATTTTTAATTCTAGTTTCAGTAATGTTTTAGAAACTGTCAACATTTTTTTACATCACTTAATTTGAACATGAGTGATAAAGAATACAAAAAAAGCCTGAATAGTTTTCATTCT